ATAATAGTGTTAAATTTACTAAAGGATATACCCACAATCTAGAAATTATTTTAATCATTAATTCTTAATGTACGCTCAATTGCATGTCATAGTACTGTGGAACGATATTTCAAATAAGTTCGAATGCCATTTTTTTTTTTTTTTTTAATGAAACAAAAAATACTTTCAAGATCTATAGAATCGATATTTCCATGTAATAATTTACATAAAAATATATTATTAGTAATAACCTTAAAAATTCGAAATATAATTTTTTAATTTTTTTTATGGATTTGAAGAAATTTCTAAAAATAAAAACATTGAAGTCTTGTTTAAAACTTTATTTAAAATTAAGAATAACTTATTAATTTATTTGTGTAATTAAATCCTTAATATTTTCGAATTGTAATTAAATGTGTAAGTCCTATCCTGTACCCTTCAATATGCAATCAATGCGCAAGCGCGCGAGTCTCTTCTTTTAAAAAGATGGCCGCCTTCAATTCTACGTGCCTGATTAAAATGACATTACCTATCTACTCTAATCTATATTTGTGGTTAATTGTTAAACAATTTAAGATGACTTCTTTAAAATTTAGAAAGTTAAATAACTTTAAGGTGTCACATTTCAGTTAAAATTGGAGCAAATGAGTCCACTTTAGAGATTTCCGAAAATATTAAAACTGAAAAGGTGGTAGGATGGTAAATAACACCGAAAAAATTAAAGGGGTGATTTTGTGAGGAAAATTAATGTTTGGTATAAAATTTTTTGAAAAAACCCTCCACGGAAAAGTTACACCCCTTCGAAAATTAAAAAAAAATAATGGTTTTTCTTTTTTATTTTCCCTGTATATCAAGCTAAAGACACGAAACTTGGTAAGGATTATCTGTCAATAAAAGTACACTTTTTGAAATTTTTTCAACCCTGAAGTATGCTTAGAAGGGGTTGAAATAATCAACCCCTAAGATATTTTTTCTTACAACTTTTTTTAGATGAAAATTTTTTCTTTAAAAAAGTATGACTAAAAAGCCCAATTCATTGACTAACTTTTTTAACTCTACAAGTTTTTTCTAAAACTTGAGCATTTACGAGAAAAAAAATCTAATGCAATGCATTTTCAAAAAGATGAGCTAACGCGAGTGTATTTTGCGTCAAGTCTAGTGGCCTGTGCTTTGCATAAAAACATTAATACTGATACCAGGATTGTGTAGTGTCATTTTCTGTTACCCATCTTATTGTTTCACAAGTTTTATGATTGTGTATTGTAGAAAATATTAGTTGATTGAAAATATGAATGCCTATTCGAATTTGAAAATGGCAGATATGCATTTTACATACGGTCGTGCTAACGGTAATTCATTGGAAGCGCAAAAACTTTATGCTGAACAGTACCCACAGCGTAGACTACCCCATCATACTACGTTCACAACTATTCACCGACGCTTGCGGGAACGTGGTAATTTTGAAAAAAGAAGTTATGATTCTGGTCGTACTAGAGAAGTTAGAACTGCAACTGTAGAAGAAGCCGTACTTAATTCAATTGAAGAATTCCCAGAAACTAGTACCAGGAGAATAGCTCGTGTCCTACATGTAAGCCATTCCGTTGTTTTTAGAATTTTAAAAGAACAAATGTTGTATCCCTATCACCTTAAACGGGTGCAGGCGTTAATGATTCGAGATTTTTTACCCCGTGTGATTTTTTGTCAGTGGCTCATTAATATGATTGGCCAAGCACCACAGTTCTTAGGTAATATTTTATTTACTGACGAGGCGAGTTTCTCAAGAGACTGTATTAGAAATTTTCACAACAATCACCTGTGTTTCTATGTTTCTTGAGAGGATCTTGGACACCAATGCTTTTTAAATGGAAAACGTGTAGTTCACTCTGGACAGTAGAGTGCTAGTGTGGACATTTAAGTAAAGATTGGACAAATATTGCTAATAGTTTAAATGGGGAAAAATTATTTGTAATAGGGTAAACTCAACATTGGACAGGGGTTAAGAGGGCATACGAGAAGTTTTAAAGCGATTTAGAACTTCTCGTATGCCCTCGTAACCCCTGTCCAATGTTGAGTTTACCCTATTACAAATAATTTTTCCCCATTTAAACTATTAGCAATATTTGTCCAATCTTTACTTAAATGTCCACACTAGCACTCTACTGTCCAGAGTGAACTACACGTTTTCCATTTAAAAAGCATTGGTGTCCAAGATCCTATGTTTCTTGAGAGGATCTTGGACACCAATGCTTTTTAAATGGAAAACGTGTAGTTCACTCTGGACAGTAGAGTGCTAGTGTGGACATTTAAGTAAAGATTGGACAAATATTGCTAATAGTTTAAATGGGGAAAAATTATTTGTAATAGGGTAAACTCAACATTGGACAGGGGTTACGAGGGCATACGAGAAGTTTTAAAGCGATTTAGAACTTCTCGTATGCCCTCGTAACCCCTGTCCAATGTTGAGTTTACCCTATTACAAATAATTTTTCCCCATTTAAACTATTAGCAATATTTGTCCAATCTTTACTTAAATGTCCACACTAGCACTCTACTGTCCAGAGTGAACTACACGTTTTCCATTTAAAAAGCATTTGTGTCCAAGATCCTATGGGCCCAGAATAGTACTCTAACCTTTGAAATGCATATAAATTTATGCTACATCCAGATATTACGATTGTCGTTTAAAGGGAGCCCCCCCCACCTTTTACCATGATTGTCAAGGAGACCACGTTTATCTTTGATGGACGATCGCTTACGTCGTATGCATCAATTGCGTCGCTTGCATCGCTTACGTCGCTTGCAACACGCATGTGTACATGTAAACGAAGATATGAGTTTGCAACGTCGATGCTACATCGCTTCTTCTCGCGTACTTTGTAAATATCATCTAGTTGTCATTCTCCGTACGTATTCGTTTTCCCTGATGGAATCCTCCCAATAATAATGAAGATAAGTTTTATGCCCTTTTGGCCTGTCACTGCGCAGGTGGTCCGTCACTTCGTATGATTTTTTTCTGTACGATGTTTTTTTACATAATGCCATTTTTCCCGCTTAAATCGGACCAACAATAACAAAGATAAGTTTTATGCCCTTTTGGCCTGTCACTGCGCAGGTGGTCCGCCACTGCGCATGATTTTTCTGTACAACGTTTTTACATATAGCCGTTTTTCCCGTTTGAATCGGACCACGTGATACACGTTAAGGTCCTTTTGGCATTGCCACTACGCATGTGTACTTGCGAGTGGCAAGACATCTCACGTAGAATACCGTTTTCTCCGTTCGAATCGGCCTAATAATAAGCTTAGGCCCTTTTGTCCTAGACACATGATCGTTGCATGCCTGTGTGCGTTGCGTGCGTTGTGTTAAGAAAATACCGTTTTTATTGTTTGAAATGGACCACGTGATACACGCTAAGGCCATTCTGGCAATCGCATGTTTTTTCTCATCTACGTTAATCGTTCTCTTTATAATGCCATTTTTCCCGCTAAAATCGGACCACATGATACAGGCTAAGGCCATTCTGGCATTGCGCCCGTTTGCACCTTTTTAAATCGATGTATTATAAGCGTTAATGCCCTTTTGACTTTGATGGTAATTCTTTCGTTGGAAATGACAGCTAGATGACAGTTTACGCTGAATGCCGTTTGTCCCGTTTGAATAGCAATAAAGATACACGCTTAGGTCCTTTTGGCATTGCCACTGCCCATGTGTAGTTGCGAATGGCAACCATACAACGTCTCACGTAGAATGACGTTGATTATATACATCATCTTGTAAATGATTATTAAATGTCCTCCTGGCCGAGCGGTCTAAGACGCCGATTGGTAATCTCTGGGTCCGTGGATCGATCCCCCGCGTAGTCAGATTTTTTTTAATAAAAAATGGTTTAAAAAATAAAATTATATTAAAATGGTGTATGGTGGGTTGTTGTGATATCCAATAATGATCGTGTATAGATGCAGAATGAGAGATGGATGACACGTGACTAAACAATTAAAAAGCAATTAAAAATCGATTTGCTGTACACGACACGTGACTAAACAATTAAAAATCGATTAGTAGATAAGAATTGCGTGGGCGTGGCAGTTAGGCGGCTTTTATCAAAGGAAAATTTGGTTCCCACGGTCAGTAAAAAGTTCCCAGTCCCAAGTGACCTAACCCCTGCTTATGGGGATATCTGAAATCTTTGATATACACAAACCCAGTTGAAAATATCGATGATCTGCGAAACCGCATTGTAGCAGGGTGTGAAACTATACGAAATTCTCCAGGAATATTTCATCGTATACGCAATTATATGAGGAAAAGTGTAGATGCTTGTATTGAAGCTGAAGGCGGTCATTTTCAACATTTATTATAATTGTATTGTCGATATTCGAGAGGTTTTTGTTCATTGTTTGTTCACTTTTGTTTTTAGTTGTAGAAGTCTTAAGAATCATAATTTGGTTGGCTGTTGTTTAATAAAATGCTATTTTACATGAGCTTATTTATTTTTTTCTCATAAATGTTTAAGTTTTCGAAAAAAACTTGTAGATATAAAAAAGTTAGTCAATGAATTGGGCTTTTCAGTCATACTTTTTTAAAGAAAAAATTTTCTTCTAAAAAAAAGTTGTAAAAAAAAATATCTTAGGGGTTGATTATTTTAACCCCTTCTAAGCATACTTCAGGGTTGAAAAAAGTTCAAAAAGTGTATTTTTATTGACAGATAATGTTTACCAAGTTTCGTGTCTTTAGCTTGATATACAGGGAAAATAAAAAAGAAAAACCATTTTTCTTTTTTAATTTTCGAAGGGGTGTAACTTTTCCGGGGAGGGTTTTTTCAAAAAATTTTATACCTAACACTCACATTAATTTTCATCACAGAATCATCCCTTTAATTTTTTCGGTGTTATTTAGATACACCCTGTATATATTTTTTAATCATTATTTTAAAATAACAACACAAGATAATAGGTTATGTTTTTACAATTTCGCAAAATAAATCTAAAAAATATAATATTTAATTCAATATTTTGTTACAGAGATTCCTCCGCAACCAAACCAGAACTACCGCAAACGCGAAGTAAAATATTGGAACGAAATATTTCCCACGATTACCGAAAATTTTACTTTTGGTTCATTTCCACTGGCGCATCCGACGAAGAAGAGTTTCTATTCCCCTCCATCACCATCCCAACGCACTCCACCACCTTGGCTATACGATAACTTACCATACAAAATTGGAACGGCGACAAAAAATAAATTCGAAAATTTTGACAAACCCCTAAAGAAATCATCAAACGTTTTCGGTACGATCGTTAAAACTGGAAACAGACCAGATAACATGGAGAAAGATATATACGGAAAAATCTTAGAAACTCCTGCTGAAGAGGTGAAACAGAGTTCTACGATGAACGTAATAACAGTAGCTGGTGGGCTATTCCTTTTCGCCAATATTGTACTCCTCGTTATTATTTATTTCAAATGCAAAAGTAAGAGAAACGCCTCTAAGATTACCAGTCTGCCTTTGCCTGATGGTGAAAAAGTTCCAAAAGATTCCGACGGTTTTGTTCTAAACGGATGTAACATAGTACGTATGATGAACAATTCTTCAAAAAGTGACGATACATACGAAGCTGTCAAGCCAGATTCTAGCCCGAATTATAAACTTTCAAGACAAATGTCTGGCAGTACAATCGATGCCCACACAAAAGTAAGAGAATGGATTACACAGGAAATTATTCAAAAATACAGTCCAAGAATTTTTCGCAAAAGAAGGCCTGAACCTGGAAAACGACATTCCCTCATTCCAGACAGTTTTACTTTACCTCAAGAAATTGAAAACAATGAAAATTTAGTACAAAGTGATACAGCAATGAAAACGTCTACTATAACAAGACCTAAAGTGCCCAAAATTTCAGTGGGAGTAGACGCCACACCCTCAGGAAGAGGGGCAAGTGTACTAATGCAACAACCAATCGAAATGTCAAAATCGTTTGATTATTCCTACATGGATGCAGAACCTAAATCATTTTTAAGAAGATCGATTACCTTAGAAGATTTTTCCCCTAAAAACGAATCAAATTATCACAATCAACCTACCATGGTGAAAATAGAACACAAGCATTCAAATTCTGATCCTGTACAGGATTTAACTTATTCCCAATTAAAGAAACTAAAAACTTTTAATCCTGACACAGATATCAGTGTTACTTGCAGAGATGAAATTGATTCTCCAACGCCACTTACCCCAGAAGAATCTCTTATGACTATTAAAAGAAGAAATTTTCCCAAAGTATTACCAGATTATCCTGATAAAGCATCATTATTAAATAACAGAAGATCCATGCCTGTATGTGCCTTAGCAGCTGTACCAGACTCTCATTTACTGCTCTCAAATCTAGCAGGTAGTTTTAGTAAGCTGCCTCCTACACCTCCACCCAGAACTACTACGCTTACAAAGCAAGCTAGTGAACCTCAGCCGATTTTTATCTCTGAACCGACGCTAATGGAAGAAACCGAAGAAGAACCAGAAATTGTTTGCAATAATTTATATTTTGGACCGCTTGTTCCTAAAAATAAAGCTGCTACATTGCCTATGAAAGAAAGCGAAATAATAAAACCTAAACCCATTGTAAGCCCTAATATAAAACGAGCTGATCCAAAATTTGTAATTAAACCAACTTTAAGTAAGAAACCTTCAGAGGAGAAGTGTCATAAAAATATTCCGAGAGTTTGTGTACCGGATAATCAACCCTATCAACAACAAATGCCTTTGAAAGATGCTAAAATTGGATTGAAATCAGAACAGTCGATTAAAGAGAATATAGATGATAATAAAACAGATAATAAAAATGCTAAAAAATCACAAATACCTATGCTTATAAGAACTCCAAGTTTAAATAAAGAATCGTTTAGTTCTGAGTCCACTCCATCCGAAGAATCTGATACAGGTACTGTAGTGAAAAAGGTATAGAGAGTGAAAAACGATACATTTTAGAAACAATATTGTTACTTACTGTAAATAGTGTTCGTTTGGTTTACTGCAGCTAGATTTTTTGTTTCTATTATAATTATTATAAAAAGAAATTGCAAAAAAAAATTAAATGCTTTAAATAGTTAATGAGGGACTAAATGGAACTGCTTAAATATTTGAAAGAATACGCATTAAAATTTTTTTTATTTGGTATCTGTTGTGACAGGCTTCTAATTCACCTACAGTGAATCAGTGAGTCTGTGTGACGCAATGAAGGTGATTCCCGAATAGGGGTTGCTCAGGCGCCAGTTTTGGTATCGCAGTTTGCTCTGCGACCCTGTGGTACACCAGGGTGTACTTAAGGTGAACTCAGTGGAGATAAAAATAATTCAAGGCGGTCACTACTAGGTTGCCACTATACTAGAATAAAAAATAAAACACTTATCTCCTTTACACCTCGTACCCTACGGTACCCTGAAAGAGAACGGTTAGGAACCAGTAATAAGAGAAACACAGGAATAGGTACTAAAATATATATTTACAAAAAAATAAATACAACCGTAATTATACAGGGTTGGCCAAACCTCGGTCGTAGTTCTATAACTCCTATTATGCAAATCTTAACGATTTATTCGAAGTATACCTGTCAATGGTGGTCAAAACCAAATATCCCAAAATTATTTTCTTGTGTACAGGGTGGCCCAATAGTAAATTAGGCAAATCACTTATTTTTTTTAAATGGAATGACCCAACTTTTTTTCCAATTTTAGGTACTCTATGGTCACTAGTGCATACCCACAAAATATTGTTTCTAACATCCTACCCCTTTCGCAGAAAAAGAAGAAATACCAAAAAATATTACATTTTCAGACGCCTATTAAAATATGCAGTGCTCTCTCGAATTTGACGTTAGAATTTAAAAAACTACAAATATATAAAGCCAATAGACCAAAGATTTTTTTAGACCAAGTTTTAATTTTTCATTTTGTACAGGGTGGTCACAAATTAATTTCAATTTCCAAAAATTTCTAGGACATTTTTTTCAAATAGAACACTCTGTATTACTATTCATCGATGAAACGAGAATTGTATACCCTTCGACTTCCCCCTGTACTTTCCTATACCTATCTGTCGTCGTTTAAAAGTAAATTCCAAAAAGACATTGATATGTCAAAAATCCAATTTCTACTAGTGGTTTTATTGAAAGTGAACATTCAATCAAGTAGGCCTGGGTCTTAATGAAGTGTCAGATTATTTATTAATGAAGTGTCAAATTATTTTTACTGATCGCGATAATTCTTCTATTAATAATGAATTTTACGAAAAACGAATTAATTGACATGGTCTATGTTTTGGGAGAATCCGACAGAAATTGTTTATTGGCAAAGAGAATTTATCATCAACGATATCCCGATAGACGCATCCCTGATCAAAAAAGTTTTGAAAAGTTACATAAAAGATTTACCGAAACAGGAAATGTTGCTTATAAAAAACCAATAATTGACAAACGTGTTACTGATAATGATAACCAATTATCTGTAATTTTGACAGCGATAGAATATCCTCATGTAAGTCAAAAAAAGATTGCCGAAGTAGTAGGTATAAGTAGAACATCCGTTAGAAGGATTTTAGAACAGCATCAATATCATCCTTATAAAATACAATTGCATCAAGAGCTGAAAAACACCGATTTTGATAATAGAATGGTGTTTTGAAACAAGGCAAAAACTAAACTGCAACAAAATCCATTTTTTTTTTATAGAGTGCTGTTTTCTGATGAATCTACATTCCACAAGAACGGATTCGTTAATAGACATAATTTTCACTATTATTCCACGGAAAATCCTAACATCATCAGAACACATAGCCAAGAAAGATGGAGTGTAAATGTTTGGGAAAGTATAATTGGGGATCATGTTATTGGGCCGTATTTTTTTGAAGGCAACTTAAATGGTCTGATGTATTTAGATTTTTTAGCAAATCATCTTCCTACTTTACTTGAAAACATTTCCCTTGCTGTAAGACTAACAATGTGGTACCAACATGATGGGGCAGCAGCGCATTTTTTACGCGAAGTGGCAGATGAATTAGATGAAAAGTTTCCAAATAGATGGATTGGTAGAAATGGTCCAAAAAAATGGCCAGCTCGATCACCTGACTTAACAAAACCCGATTATTTTTTGTGGGGTTATATTTAAAATCTAGTCTATCTTACGCCACCTATAACACCTGAAAATATGAAAGAAAGGATAGTGCAAGCTTTCCATTCCATTACACCTGATATGCTTAGAAACGTTTCTCGATCATTCCCCAACGAATAAATGTATGCATTAGAGAAAATGGCAGACATTTTGAGCACTTTTTATAAAATGTAAATTTATGTTTTAGGATAAATTTCAAATAAATTTTATTATCGTAATTTTCTTCCTTTTGAATTTATTTTATAACGGCGACAGATAGGTATAGGAAAGTACATAGGGAAGTGGAAGGGTATGAAATTCTCCTTCAGTTGATGAATAGAAATACAGGGTAATACATTTGAAAAATTTTAAAAAATTTCCCTCAAAATTTTTGGAAAGTGAAATTAATTTGTGACCACCCTATACAAAATAAAAAATTCAAACTTGGTCCAAAAAAATCTTTGGTCTATTGGCTTTATACAATCGTAGTTTTTTAAATTCTAACATCAAATTCGAGAGAGCACTGCATATTTTAATAGGCGTCTGAAAATGTAATATTTTTTGGTAATTTTTTTTTCTGCGAAAGGGGTGGGATGTTAGAAACAATATTTTGTGGGTATGTACTAGTGACCATAGAATACCTAAAATTGTAAAAAAAGTTGGGTCATTCCATTTAAAAAAATTAAGTGATTTGCCTAATTTACTATTGGGCCACCCTGTACACAAGAAAATAATTTTGGGATATTTGGTATTGGCCACCATTGACAGGTATACATCAAATAAATCGTTAAGATTTGCATAGTAGGAGTTATAGAACTACGACAGAGGTTTGGCCAACCCTGTATATGAACGGCTCCCTATATTCGGAAAAATCTATTCTTTAAAAATAAATTATTAAAATTGAAAAGTATTTAATTATTGACGGATCCCTATATCCGGAAAATTAAATAAAAATGAATTATTAAAGTTGAAAATTATTTAAATATTGACGGATCCCGTATTCGAAAAATTTGTTAAAAATAAATTAATAAAGTTGAAAATTATTTAAAAATATAAAAATATTTATGGTTTATTAGCACAGGAGGCTAATTGGACTGGGAATTGTGAAACGCTCATTATACGGAAAATGTATGAAAATAAATTAATACACTTGAAACAATTTAAATATGACGGTAATCAAATGCAAATAAATAAATGAACTCAATATTGTCGGAGTCCCCTTGTATCTTAATAACCAAGCGATGAGAAAAGAAAATTCTCGCTTACTGATAAATATGGTTTATTTACGCGGTGTTTTGAATGGCGACCACGACGGTCGTAGAAAATAATATTTTTGAATTTTGCCCAGAGTCTATCGTGTGAATTGAATTTTACAGAAGTCGTCTGGCTTCCTTCAATAACTAATTGTGGACGAGGAATGATTCAAATACGGCTGAATAAAAAAAATTAAAAGAAAAGAAATTTTACACGAAGTGAGGAACGGAAATTAATTTAAACGTCTTTTTGGGAAATAAGACAACGTCATCAGGAGAGAGAGAGAGAGAGAGAGAGAGAGCTCTCTAACCCACGAAACGGATCGAACCTCCGAAAAAGAAAAAAAAAATAAAACAATAAAATAATAAAAAATCGAAAACAGGTCGAATCTCTTACTTCGATGTTAACTGGGCGATTTTTAAAAGAAATTGGATATAGTCGCTGACAAAGAGAGCACTCGGTGTCTAGTCTAGGTCCAACCTCAAATAAAAAATTGCCAACGGTTTCCCACTGAGGGATGAAATAATATATCCTGGATGTGAATTAAAATTTTTCACTTGTCACACGGATGTCCCAAAAAGCCAATATAAAAAAATAATAATATACGGTTCCTACCTTAGCAGATAAACGGGGTTAATCGATGAACTAAATCACGGTACTCACGGCACTAGGTACTAACTAGGGGGGAATAGTTTTGGCTGTCAGCAATCAAAAGAGAAAACCTTACGGCGGCTGGAAAGCGAGAAGAAAACGTAATTCCCAGATGGGATTTAATTTATGCTTTTTCGGTAAAGCAAGATGGAAGACCAGTGCGCCCGAGTTGGGATACCACCACTACATCTGACTGTTTATAATTTAGAAATATAAAAAATGTCCTTTTAATACCTTGACAATTAAAAGTAGGTAATTCATACGAAATCGACTCTAAAAATGCCCATTTGGATTTTGGGAAATATTAGAATATTTTAATCTACGAGGGTACTCGCAATTGTTGAAAAACGGTAATTCGTGGGAAACATAAATACGGGGGAACTTCTACATGTTCTCAGGCGGGAATTAATTGAAATATACACATTTTTTTAATTAATTGAGAGCAAAATTTAGTGACTTCGTCACAATAGCCTGGCCTCTTATTTATATAACCCAACCCCTCCTGACTAAGCTAGCAAACTTTCTTTTTTTTTATTAGTTTTAATAAATTGAATTTTACAATAAGTTAGTTGGAATTTAAAATCCAGAATAACAAGTCCTTAAAAAGACTGATAACAAAATAAACATTCTAAATTTTTTCAAAATTTTCCCCTCCCTATAGAATTATGCAACGACGCCCATGCTTCTTAATAAATTGTCCTTTAATTTTTTCACAGCAACAGCGGCAAGATTTTTGTTTTATATAAAAAAACAACCATGCCTCTGACTCTTAACTCGCAAAAATGTACATGCAGAATTATTTGTTGTGTTTTATATGCAAAGTTTGTTTAAATTTCTTAGAATGTTCAATACACGGGTTGATCAATGAGTAATTTTGTTATAACCTAACGTAACTAGGGTTGCAATCTTAAAAAA